CTTTCCTCTGCGGTAAAATTCCTACAGGGGAATGGATGGAGCATAAAATGTCTAGAATGAAGACCATGAAGTGGTGGCTCATTCCTTTAATCCCAGCTCTTGGGAGGCAGAGGCAGGTGGAGCTTAAGGCCAGCCTGGTCTACAAGAGCTAGTACCAATACACATTCCAAAGCTAAAGACAAAGCCTTTATCAAAAAAAATGTCTTGAATGTAAACAAACTTCAGACCCAAACAATCTGTATGTACCTCCTATAATTTTATTTCCACTAAACCAATTTTTTTCTCTGCTTTAGATGATAATTCTCTTTGACTATTTAAATACTTGTCACATTTTATGATTTGGTTCTAATTACTGTTTTGAATTTTTTTTACTCCAACAGTGGGATATAGATGGTCAATGTCTTGCAGCAATTTCTGAAAATTATTAAGATTCCACAAATAATATCTCCTAATTTTTAACTTTTGGGGTAAAACTTTTGTAAAATTATTTTATATGCTGAATAATTAATAGAATCTCCTTTTTGTATATTTTCAGAAGTAATTTTTAATCCCCAAAGAGACAAAGTTTGCTTTACTTCTGCAAATATTTACTCTAAAGTATGTACATTTGAATCATCTAATATAATTCTGAATAATGTTGAAAACATACCTAACTTGAGTATATTTTCAATTGTAATAAGTAACAAACTACTAATGTGCAGTACTTTATATCCTAATTTGTTTATAATAATAACTTTCAAGGACTAGAAATTTTCATTACATGTTTAAATGAGTTGTATTAGGTAAAGTATCTTGAGTAAAAATATAACATCATAGACAGTATGTTTTAACAAAAATAATGCCAAATTAGTATCAAAAGGAAGCATACATATCTATATCAATGTAAAAATATATAAATAAGTAGTTACTTTTTAAACTTAATTTTAAAGATCTACTCTTTTATCTCATCATATGTATGTATCCCCCTTTATTCTTTTTAGAGCAGATTCAGTAATCTACACTTTTATCCTGTCATTTTGTCGGGTGGTTTTTTTAGGTGGATGTATATTTATGAGTATATAGAGGTGGAATCTGGCTATGTCCCTCTATAAAACCAAACATGTTATTAAAATAAAATTTCAGAGTTTCTGTCTCATGTCAGGAGCATGGGACAGAAAGAAATAAGAATTTAGAAATTTTTTTATTTTTCTTCATATCTATTTTTGTCTCTATTGTACATGCCATTGAATATTTATGTCTGTATATGTCTATATAAATAATGTTTTAGTTTTCCACAATGAACAATGAATTTTCCTGCATTAATTTTGATGTTTCCAGGAAGAATTTGGGGCCCCACAACAACAACTCAATCTGGTTGATATTATACATCATGATGATGATAACACTACTACAAGATCTGTTTTGAGTACCAGCTGCTCAAGATGGTTCCAACTTGGTTAGCTGAAATGGTGCACTTTTTACAATGTTCTGGACAGACCTCCTAATAGGAAGCTCAGAAAAACCTTACCAAATACTCAGAGGCTATTTGCAATTATACTAGACAGTAATCTTTGAACTTAACCATCATTTTACTTTCACAGGATCCCATAGAAAGAACATCGCCCCCTTGACAGCTGGAAGTAATTCTAAAAGACTACATCCCCTCTCCCAACAAAGTTTGTCCTCAGGGTTAAGAACATCATTTAGGGGTTGATTATATTTGGTATAGGATTGCAGGTTGGAGGGGAAAGTTTATAGGCTCAGGGATCTCTTTGGAAAAAATGGGAAAATTGGATGGAATAATAGATTAGTGTGAGCTTACACACTAATAATAGTGAGTAATAGAGTGAATGCTTGTGAGTTATAATTTATAGGCAATTGCATTGGTATAGATTCTTGTATATTGATATAATATTAAACTATATTGAATATTGTATGCATTCATGCTTCTACCTCTGCTTAAAACATTTTATATATTGATATATATTTATCATATTGCAATGTACATTTCTACCACTGATCAAGATAGTTATACATTGTTTATATTTTGAGGTCATTGTCCTCATTTGTTGCAAGTTGGTTATTGTATAATATTCTAATATGAAGTCTTAGTCTTTAAGTTATATAGGTATTAAGAATTATAGATCAGGGCTGGAGAGATGGCTCAGTGGTTAAGAGCATTGCCTCCTCATCCAAAGGTCCTGAGTTCAATTCCCAGCAACCACATGGTGGCTCACAACCATCTGTAATGAGGTCTGGTGCCCTCTTCGGGCCTGCAGGCATACACACAAACAGAATATTGTATACATAGTAAGTAAATAAATAAATATTAAAAAAAAGATCTCCCACTTAAAAAAAGAATTATAGATCAATAGTCATCTATGTTTGTCATACTTATAGTTAAAATAATCAGGTTCTTTACATAAACAGAGATTATATTCTGCATAGATAGGTAAGCTTCAACCACTTCAAAGAACTGTAGAATATGGCATATAAATAACTTAGGGTTCTGTTGAAGTGAGGCACTATTGCTCCTGGTAGCATTGATCTCTTCCCCAGAGAAAGTTGAGCACTGAAAACACTCCATTAGGAGCTTGTTTTTTTCTTGGCAAAACTCTTTTGAGCAAAGACATGCTCACGCCTCAACCACTGACAAGATACATAGTATCTGAAAATGGATAAGCAAATCTGTTAAATCTTGCCAAGAAAGGGTAAAATGGTTTTGAAAAATTCCCTACCTCTGAAAATGATCTGTCAGTTAATCTAGGTCTTAGCAAAAGTTAGTCCCTTCAACATTGCAAATGAGACTTTGCATGATTGCCCAGGTAGCCAGTTGTCTCTGTAATTTGTTGCACATTTTGAAAGCTGCTTGATTGCACTTCCTGCTTACTCAAGTAATATTTCCCTTCTCAGATTCAATGGAGTTGAAGACTAGATAGCTGTGGTTACTTTCCTCTCATGACTTGTCCAAATTATTTATTAAACAAGAATTAAACTAGTTAGGATAAGATAATTATTGAATATTTGTTCTTATTGTATATAATTTTGTATTGGTCTTAGAACTCTCTTATTTAAACAAAATGGGGAGGTGCTGTTGAAAGTCTTGCAGCCAGTGGTTTCCCATCCATTGGGACATGACATATTATACTATATTTGCCAATGCAGAGCATGAGTTTGGCCTCTTTTCTGGCTACGTGATTCAGATTTTAATCTCCATTCAAGCATAGGATTCTGAGTTGTGAGTCCATCCCTAAATAAATATACATCTATTTCTCAATTCTGAGCTCGTGCTGGATGTCTTTTAAGCATCCATCTTCCAGTATCACTAAATGTGAATCATTGAAATGACTAAATGCATTTTTTCCATTGTTGACCATGAACCAATAGTGATTGGGTTCACAATGTATTTGATTGAATGACCAACCTCCCAGAAAACATTATGAATTTGAACAAGTTTCTCTCCTTAGTGATTTTCTTTCAATTTTCTGTGAATCTTTAGTAGGAAAAGCCTTTCTAGATAAAATTCCTCACTGTATGCTTGGAGTCTCAATACCCTCAAGTAATTTCCTGATATTTATATCTACAGTGGTGTGTTTGACATTAATCAGCCAACTTCCTACTTATACTGAAATGCTTTTACCATTATTATAGGCTCAATCTCTAAATCATATAAGACATAGCAGAAACAGTTGTTATTCAGTGTTCAGGACTTTGGTAACCTGCTGTTTTGTTTTGTTTGCTTATCTGAGTAACTGTGGCTCTCAGTTCCTGAAAGTAAAGGGAGGCATCATTCCTGGCTCTATTTGTTTTTATGTTATTGGATGATGGCCCTGGAATGTAGGTTTTGTTCATGTCGAGTGTATGCTGCTGTGCTTAGCTTCATGCTTATCTTGAATTTTAAAATTTGACAGAGGGTATCACTCTGATTCCCAGGATGCCATGGATTGATAACATAAACTGCCTGAGTATTTTGAGTCATTAAATTGCAGTTGCATGAACTTTTTCCTGCTTGTTGTACTTGCTTTGATTCTTTTAAAATCAATATGACCATTTTATATGTCTGCATGGATATGCACCATATGGATACCTGGTCATCAGAGTGAACAAAGGATCTCAGACATCCTGACCATGGAAAAATGGAAAGTTGTGATCTCCATGTAAGTACTGGCAAATGTGTCCACCTCCATTCAAGATCAGCAAGAATGCATGCTGCATTACTCTCCTCTCTCTCCAGCTCTGTGTTGATTATTTATGACCAACATTTATATTTCTATTGTTTTCATCTGTCCATTGGTAACAGTTTTATATAGGCAGTTCTTTTCCTACAAAATGTTATTGGTATTGCAGTTTATATTAGGGTACTTCAGAGGTCTGGAAGATGAATACAGAACTGGAGTGAAAACAACTCTTTGAAGGAACTTCAATAATAGCCTTTCAGTTTTTCTATCCTATTGTTTGTTTCATTGAGTTTTGCAATGGAGATAGGGTCTTAATGTGTACTGCCACCTCTCCTGGACCTGATTGCATAGACTTGACTGGCATTCAACTCAGAGACAAATATATCCACCTCTGTTTTCTGAGTGTTGTGGTTAAAGCCACAATACATCAGTACGCCCAGTTTGTCCATCATTCTTTCCTTTCTGTGGTATGTATCATACAATTTTCTCATGCATACGATGTACTGTTGATTTTTTTTTCCTTTTCTCTCCCTGTTAATAGATACTGTTCATATAAAGTGAAATCCCATCAAAAGTGTGGAGAAATGACAGAATTGACTCTCCTTTTCCATTTTCTTCTAAAGTGGCTACCTATGTCATGGAATAAGAATGGGGAACAGCAGAATCATACAACTATACTTTCAAAGAAGTACGCATTTACAATGTTGTCACTGTTATGCTTACATTGTACACATGTGTGATATATTTTCAAAGGCAGTGACCTATGATGATGTGCATATCAACTTCACTCAAGAAGAGTGGAATTTGCTGAATCCTTCCCAGAAAAATCTCTACAAGGATGTGATGTTGGAGACCTTCAGGAGCCTAGCTACTATAGGTAAAAGTGAATTTATTTCATGCTTCAAAATATGGAGACAACTTTTTCTTGGTTAATTATTTTGTTCTGTAATTTGTCTTAGAAAGAAGAAGAATAAGCTGAACAACACAGTCATAGTTCTTAGATTCACTTAAGATAATAAGCTAATTGTTGCACAATGTTAAATAATATAACATAGATATTCTGGTACTGTATTTTAGGATACATTTGGGAAGACCTTAACACCAAAGAACATTGTCAATTTTCTAGAAGACATGCAAGGTAATTTTCTTGTGCAAGTTCATAACAATATGCCTCTGATGAGTTTGTAATGTGTTCTGGAACTTTTAAACAAAAGCAATAGTGTAAATAAACACAGATTTAAATGCATTGATGATTATTAAATTCTCACAAATCCGTATACCTCAATTTCCTGTATGTGGATTGCATTTTCAAGGCATTCATTTAAAAATGGTCAAGGAAGCAAAGTTTATACAGATAGCACCATTTGATTGATAGCACAATGAGAGCTATGTTGTAGATCTGCCAGTCCATTGGTTTCTTGCTATTCATGACATAAAATATATGCACATTTCAGTGATGATGAGTAGAGCTGCAAAACTTTCTACTAATTCAATAGCCCATGGTAAGCCTTGTATCACTCATATACTTTTTGTGACTGTGCTAAGTTTAGTGAAATCAGATTACTCAAGGGTCAAGGGGCATTTGTTGTGGAGAAACCTTAATAACTATACCACAAGTCTGTGAAAGTCAAACCTTGGGGATTTATTGTAGTAATCTTTTAGTCACTATTCTTCTTTTCATATATATATATGTGTGTGTGTGTGTGTGTGTGTGTGTGTGTGTGTGTGTGTCACTCTTGACACAAGTGTATGAGCATAGGGATATAGAAAGATTTAGCATACCTCTCCTTAAGAACAATAAGAGCAAGTAGATTCTACATGTTGAATTGGATCCAAGAATACAAAGTTAATTTATTTTCTACCATCATTGTTAATACATAAATACAAACTTATATTACAAAAAAAATCCATGAGTTCTAAGTCTGTGCAAATATTTCCGTGTGTCTTAGTTCACTTAACAAATGCATAATGATTCACAATATAGTAAAATTTAGGAATGCAGTAAAGTTGTTAAAGCACTCAGTATAAGCAATTCTCTTCAAAAATGTGAAAAATATCCTAGAAAAAATATAGGTATAGGTATAAATGAAAAGATAAACCATGACATAAAGGAATTTATCATAACAAATATTTTTCCAGATGCAAAATGACCCTTAATGAGAGAACAAAACATGATTTTAAACAAAGTTATAAAACCTTAATATTTGATTGCTTTTTACAATTTGAAAAAAATATGAAATTAAATCATATAGATATGAAGTTGAATAGTGCATTGAATGTGGTAAAACTTTTAAGTGTGTAAATTATTCTTCCAGGATTGAAAGAAATCAAACTGAAGAGAAGTTTTCAGTATATTCTCACTATGCTAAAGCCTTGTCTTATAATACTCATCTTCTAAGGAACGAAAAAACACATACCCGGGAAAAATCCTGTGAAATTAAGCAATGTGATAAAGCCTTTGCTTATCACAGTCATCTTCAAATGCAGAAAAGAACACACACTGGAAAGAAACCCTATGAATATAGTCAAGGTGATAAAGTCTTTGTTCTTTATGAAACACATCAAAGTCATAAACGAACACATACTGGAGAAAAATCATATGAATGTAATCTGCTTGGTAAGGTCTTTGCTGATCACAGTCATCTTCAAAAGAATGAAAGAATACATACTAGAGAGGCACCCTATGAATATAATCAGTTTAGTAAAGCCTTTGCTCAATACAGTGTTCTTCAAACACATAAAAAAACACAAACTGGAGAAAAACCCTATGAATGTAATCAGTGTGGTAAGACCTTTGCAAAAAATAGTACTCTTCAAACTCATAAAAGAACACATACAGGAGAGAAACCCTATGAATGCAATCAGTGTGGTAAGGCCTTTTCACAACACAGTACTCTTCAAACCCATAAAAGAACACATACAGGAGAGAAACCCTATGAATGCAATCAGTGTGGTAAGGCCTTTGCACAACGCATTCATCTTCAAATACATAAAAGAACACATACAGGAGAGAAACCCTATGAATGTAATCAGTGTGGTAAGGCCTTTGCACATCATAGTACTCTTCAAACCCATAAAAGAGCGCATACAGGAGAGAAACCCTATGAATGCAATCAGTGTGGTAAGGCCTTTGCAGTTCACAGTCATCTTCAAGTGCATAAAAGAACACATAGTGGAGAGAAACGTTATGAATGTGATCAGTGTGGTAAGGCCTTTTCTCGACACAGTGATCTTCAAAACCATAAAAGAACACATACTGGAGAGAAACCCTATGAATGCAATCAGTGTGGTAAGGCCTTTGCACATCATAGTACTCTTCAAACCCATAAAAGAGCGCATACAGGAGAGAAACCCTATGAATGCAATCAGTGTGGTAAGGCCTTTGTAGTTCACAGTTATCTTCAAATACATAAAAGAACACATACTGGAGAGAAACCCTATGAATGCAATCAGTGTGGTAAGGCCTTTGCAATTTACAGTCATCTTCAAGTGCATAAAAGAACACATACTGGAGAGAAACCCTATGAATGCACTCAGTGTGGTAAGGCCTTTGCTCGACACAGTCATCTTCAAATACATAAAAGAACACATACAGGAGAGAAACCCTATGAATGCAATCAGTGTGGTAAGGCTTTTGCTCAACACAGTGGTCTTCAAAAGCATAAAAGAACACATACTGGAGAAAAACCCTATGAATGCAATCAGTGTGGTAAGGCCTTTGCTCAACACAGTGGTCTTCAAAAGCATAAAAGAACACATACTGGAGAAAAACCCTATGAATGCAATCAGTGTGGTAAGGCCTTTGCTCAACACAGTGGTCTTCAAAAGCATAAAAGAACACATACTGGAGAGAAACCCTATGAATGTAATCAGTGTGGTAAAGTCTTTGCTCAACACAGTAATCTTCAAATACATAAAAGAATACATACTGGAGTGAAACCATATGAATGAAATCAGTGTGGTAAGGCCTTTGCAGACCCCTGTACTCTTAAAAGGCATGAAACAAAACATACTTTAGAGATACCTGTGGGTGGAATCTGTGGTAAATCCTTTTTCATAATCATCTATAAATATATCATCTGAGCCCTCCTCTAGAGATACTCTGAAGTTAATGTGTGTATTCTTCAAAAAATGACAAGAAATCATACTGTAGTGAAACCCTATTAGTTAATTCAGTGTCATAATGTTTTGTGCTTCATATTGGGGTAAGACTTTGTGTGTAATCAATCTGATAAAGCTTGTACATATTTCTGTAATCTTTTTGATGTGAGGAAAAAACTGGGGGCTTATTTTAAATTATTCTTCAAGAGATTAAGCCACTTACATTTAGTTAACCAACAGCAGTTATTGTGTAAAGAAAAGTTTGATAGTGTTGACAATCTGTTTAAGCATCATGATACCTCTTTTTATTTTAGTCTTAACCTGCAAAGTAATGGATAAAACCTTTTATGAAGTATTATGTGTTAGAGAAACGGTATTTCAGCATTGGTCCTGAAACCAGAGTCAAAGGAAAGAACTTTGTCTCTGAATCTAGAAATAGTTAATGAAACAACATCTCACTGAAAACAGCCAAAACATTAAAATGGGTCAGTAAACGAAATACAATTTGGCTCTAAAACCAGAAGCATAAAATTCTAAAAGTTTCAACAATGTTTTTAAGCCCAAAGAATACAATTATGTGAAATATGAGAGGCATGAAGAGTGAAATTTCTCTTAAGTTTACTTTTATGTTTTGTGTAAAAGTTCCCTTAGAAGTTGGGGGTATAATTATGGTTATCAGAAGATTGGGAGTGGTCATCAGAAAAGTTGAAGGTGTTTACAAGGAATATATTTTGAAAAAGAAAGATGGCTAGAATTAAGATATTATGGGAACATCACCCTTAACAATAGCCACAGATAATATAAAATATTATGGAATAACTAACTAAAGAAGTGAAAGGACTATAGGAAAAGAACTTTAAATCTTTGAAGAAAAAAATTGAAGAAGACAGCAGAGAATGGGAAGATGTCCCTTGACCTAGTTAGGTACAAATCAACAAATTAAAAGTGAAAACCTTTCCAAAAGCAATCTACAGGTTCAATACCATTCCCATGTAAATAGCAGAAAAATTCTTCATCACCTCAAAATAAAATACTCAACTTCATATAGAAAAGCAAAAAACAATGCAGGATAGCCAAAACAATCCTATATAAAAAATGATTTCTGGAGGCATCACATTCCCTGACTTTAGTCTACTACAGAGCTACAGCACTGAAGAGAGTCTTGTGTTGGCACAAAAAGAGACAGGAAGACTAATGTAACTGATTCTAAGACTCAGATATCAATCCACTCACCTACTACACTTGATTTTTGACAAAGCACAAAAAAATATAAAATGGGGGAAAAAGTGTATTCAACAAATGGTTCTGGCATAACTGAATATCAATGTGGGGAAGAATGAAAGTAGATTCACATCTATCATCATGAACAAATCTCAAGTCCAAATGGATCAAAGGCCATAACATAAAGCCAAATACACTGAACCACATAAAACAAAACATCAGAAGTACACTTGAACACATTGGCAAAGAATATCACCTTCAAATTATAACTCTAGCAAAACACACTGAGAGAAATAATAAATGAGACCTTCTGAAAAAAAGTTTCTATAAATGAAAGGACATTTTCAACAATACAAAAAGGTAGCCTATAGTATGGGAAAAGATCTTCACCTACCCCACATTGGACAGAGGACTGATCTTCAAAACATACAAAGAACTAAAAATTGGTCATCCAAAGAATAAATAATTCAATTAAAAATGGAGTACAGACCTAAACAAAGAACTATCAACATATGAATCTAAAATGACTGAAAGACACTTAGGGAAATTTCCAAACTCCTTATCCATTACAGAAATGAAAATCAAAACAACTCTGAGATCCTCTGTTACATCTGTAGCAATAGCCAAAATCAAAAACACTGATGACAACTTAAGCTGGCAAGGATATGGGGTTAAGGGAACACTCCTCCATTGCTGATGGGGCTGCAAACTGAGTCAGTTACTTTGGATACCAGTATGGTTATTTCTCTGAAAATTAGAAAGAAAACTGCCTGTTAGTGGTGCATGCCCTTAATCCCTGCACTTGAGAGTCAGAGACAGAACTCTGTAACTTTTAGACCATCCTGGTCTACAAGAGCTAGTTCCAGGACAGGCTCCAAATCTACAGAGAAACTGTGTTGAAAAACCAAAAATTAAAAAAAAAGAAAGAAAGAAAGAAAGGAAGAAAGGAAATTAGGAAACCACCTCTCTTAAAACCCAGCAATGCCACTTTGGATATGTTCCCAATGGATGTTCATATTCTACAAGGATAAGTGCTCAACTGTGTTCACAGCAACATTATTTGTTCACATCCAGAGCCTGTAAACATCCCCTCCACTGAAGAATGGACAACAAAATTGTGGCATATTTACACAATGGAGTACTACACAGTGAATAAAAATAATTACATCTTGAAATTTATGTGCAACTTTCTGGATCTAGAAAATATCATAAAAGACCAAGATAACCCAGACCCAGAAAGAAAATATAATATGTACTTATTCCTAAGTGGCTTTTATGTATAAAACAGAGGACAACCAGCCTACTATTCACAATGTCAGAGAACATATACAACAAAGAGGAAACAGAGAGACATACATAAATCTATTCTATATAGGACATAGAGAAAGACAAGATCTAATAAATTGGGAGCATGTGGATCATGGGAGAAGGAGGGGAGAGGGAGGGAGCGTAGTGGAAAAAACAGTTAAAAAAATCCTTGGTACACAACAGTTCATGGGTGAATTATACAAAGTAATAGTAAGAAATGAATAGCTGAAATATGGAACTTGGCTTAATTTTGTACCTCAATAAAATAATTCCTCTTATTATGGCAGACTGATTCATGACATTTAATTAAAAACAATCCACATGTGTTCCAAAAAAAAAATGAAGATTTGTACCATATCTCCCCATGATCCCAAATCTATAAATAAACATACACACATGAGAGAGAAAGAAATGTTTGATTTTACTTAATATATCTGCATTCATTCTAAATTGATCATTCAACACTGAGTTCATGTTTTTATGATGAATTTTGAAGGCTGTACAAGTCAAGAGTGACAGGCCCTGAACTATGCAAGTACGAATTGAATCTTTGACTTTTGAAAATATCAAGTTAGAATGTAAGAATATCTTGGGCAGATGAACATCTACAGTTCACTGGATCTTGTATATAGTAAATCCAGCAGCCAAAATCAAGATCTGGATTCAAGAAAGCAAAGCACACACTTTACAGAATCATTTATTATGTAAGAGACCATGCCCAAGTCGATTGGTATCTTAAAGGCTATAGACTAAAGGAGTTCTCATAGCACCTACCCCTTTTCCTCAAATAAGAATTTCTAAGCCCAGTACAAAACTATGTACACAAGAAACAGATAAAGTTAGAATGACAACAAGAATAGTCAATATTAAGGAAGGAATACATCCTAATGTTTTGATAAACTTTCTATCCTATGGAATCTATGTCTTGTAGTAGGAATGACTTAGCTAGATAATAATAGGATGGTAACTATGATTACCTAATCTTCAACCCCATCAAAGGCCTGAGAAGAGTAATAATTTTGCTTGAGTAGACAGGTAGTGAAGTCTAGCATCTTCCAAAAGTTGTAGTAGATGACAGAGACAACTGACTGCCTGAGCAATCAACCAAACTCTCATTACAGTTTTGAAGAATAAGACTTCATATCAGAATATAAGACAATCTTTAAGCAACTAAGCAGTAAAGAAGAACAATGACCTCAAAATAAAAACAATGTATAAATATCTTGATCAGAGGTAGAATTATATAATGCTATATGATAAATATATCATAAAATTGTAAGAATAAACAATTTTTAAACAGGTAGAATCATGCATTTATACAATCTGACAAAATAACTTATCATGGGTGTTACAAATATTTTAAACAAAAATAGGCACATATTCTATATAATAAGTCTAATTTCAATTTGTATCAATATACAAAAGTCTATACCAATGTAAATTATCCATAAATAATACCTCACATATATTCATTCTATTACTTACTATTATTATTACCATGAGTAAGTAAGCTGCCATTTATTCCATTCAATTTTCCCTCTTTTTTATTTATTTATTTAATAAAGATTTCTGCCTCCTCACTGCCACCGCCTCCCATTTCACTCCCCCTCCACCAATCAAGTCCCCCTCCCTCATCAGCCCAAAGAGCAATCAGGGTTCCCTGCTCTGTGGGGAGTCCAAGGACCACCCATCTTCATCCAGGTCTAGTAAGGTGAGCATCCAAACTGCCTAGGCTCCCACAAAGCCAGTATGTGCAGTAGGATCAAAAACCCATTGCCATTGTTCTTGAGTTCTCAGTAGTCCTCATTGTTCGCTATGTTCAGCAAGTCCGGTTTTATCCAAGGCTTTTTCAGACCCAGGCCAGCTGGCCATGGTGAGTTCCCAATAGAACCTCCCCGTTGTCTCAGTATGTGGGTACACCCCTCGAAGTCCTGAGTTCCGTGCTCGTGCTCTCTCTCCTTCTGCTCCTGATTTGGACCTTGAGATTTCTGTCCGGTGTTCCAATGTCTCCTTTCATCTCCTGCTGAAGTTTAATATTCAGGAGGATGCCTATATGTTTTTCTTTGGGTTCACCTTCTTATTTAGCTTCTCTAAAATCACGAATTGTAGGCTCAATGTCCTTTATTTATGGCTAGAAACCAAATATGAGTGAGTACATCCCATGTTCCTATTTTTGGGTCTGGCTTACCTCACTCAGGATAGTGTTTTCTATTTCCATCCATTTGCATGCAAAATTCAACAAGCCCTTGTTTTTTACTGCTGAGTAGTACTCTAATATGTATATATTCCATACTTTCTTCATCCGTTCTTCCATTGAAGGG